ATACTACAAAGGTGGTGGGTTTATGTCAACCATCTTTGATAATGTTTTAATGTCACCTTTGCACCATTTATAACATTTCTGGTATATTTTAAAATGTTTATACAGTGGTGTACTATATACAGCCTCTCCTCACTTACCAACGTAGTCGTTTACCGACAACTCAGAGTTACAACGAGCTCTCTGACAATTCGTTATTATATAATGAACGAGAACTTGGGTCCTGAATGGACAGCGCAGCATCTCAGCATCAAGCATCTGAATCTCCTTCCTATAGCCACTCCGTACACTAGTTTTCGCAGTCTCCAAAACTACATATTTGTACAAATTTCCTGTTTGTTTTTCCTCTTCCAAGAGGAAAACAAACAGGAAATTTGTGTGTGTGGGGAAGTACCCTGGCTGGTGTGTGGGGAAGTACCCTGGCTGGTTTGTGTGGGGGAGTACCCTGGCTGATATACATAAGAACATAAGAAAGCAGGAACACTGCAGCAGACCTGTTGACCTATACTAGGCAGGTCCTTCACAAACCATCCCACTAACAGAATATTTGCCCAACCATAGTTTCAATGCTCCCCAAGCAATAAGCTTTGATAATTCCATTCACTCATGTGCAAGTCCCACTCAAATCAAATCGTGTGTGTGGGGAAGTACCCTGGCTAGTGTACGTAAGAACATAAGACAGCAGGAACACTGCAGCAGACCTGTTGGCCCATACCAGGCAGGTCCTTCACAAACCATCCCACTAACAGAATATTTGCCCAACCATGTTTTCAATGCTCCCCAAGCAACAAGCTTTGATAATTCTACTCACTCATGTGCAAGTCCCACTCAAATCAAATCGTGTGTGTGGGGAAGTACCCTGGCTAGTGTACATAAGAACATAAGAAAGCAGGAACACGGCAGCAAACCTGTTGGCCCATACCAGGCAGGTCCTTCACAAACCATCCCACTAACAGAATATTTGCCCAACCATATTTTCAATGCTCCCCAAGCAATAAGCTTTGATAATTCTACTCACTCATGCACAAGTCCCACTCAAATCAAATCATGTGTGTGGGGAAGTACCCTGGCTGGTGTGTTTTTTCTTGAATTCTATTGTGTTTCTCGCCTCCTTTACAGAAGGGCTGGCACTAGGAGCTTTATTTTGGCTCATGGTGGCTTATTTAGCAGTTGCAAGCACAAAAAACAACGGATTATTATGAAATGTATTGTATGAACGCGTGGGGTGATGGTCACTCGCCCAGAAACAATGCTACACTGACTCTGAATGGTGTGTGGGAGCCTTTGTGTACGCCCGGCCGCTGGGAGGCCGGGCATACACAAAGGCGAAAAAAGTTGCCAAAAGTCAAAATTCACGAAGCGCAAGGCTCACGAAACTCGGGGGTCCACTGTATATCCACTCGTTGTAAGCAACACATTAACCACGCAAATGTCATCACAATGTTTACAAAACCTGTTTACACAAACCAACTATTGTTCTATAATATATATACGTACACATATATAGTCACTGGATACGTTCCTAGAACTGCTACAGCTTGTGGAAAGTTGATGTGTGTGCGTGGCCTTATTGTGGATGTGCTGAGAGCGGCGTGGCTGGTGTCACAATGACGCATTACAAAATCACCACCACCCATTACCCACACTATCTTTCATAACAAGCATGCTGTCTTCCCTACCACCCACATAGAAATAAGTTACTTAGACAATGCACCACTGGCTCCCCGATTTTTATACTGAGCACACTGACCACGAAGACCCATTCTCTCACATGTAGGCCTACCAGCTTTCTCCTGTTAGATTTGAAGCCTCTAGAATTTTGGCACCAATACTGGCTCGTAAGCCGTAGTACTATGGCACCAACAGTGAAAGGCTTAAGGGTTAAAATGCCATGAGACAAAGAACATAGCATATGACTCAGAAAAAAAATCATGAAAAATTGCACTATTTTTGCATTTTTTCTTTTGATAAGAGTGATCTAGGAGTGTTTGCCCTGATGAAAACACCATTTTCTTTTGTTGTAGACCAGAGGTACAGATGAGAGAAGCCTCCGCCTATTACCCCACTCACATATGGCATATAATATTCATTTCAGCATCTTTATTGCAGTTCTAGGGTATTTATTGTGTTTCTGATATCAATTTGGAATAAATGTAATAGACAGATAACCTTTATTACTATTATTAGTGTAATTACACAACTTTATTAGCGCCACAACTAACATCCAACACCCATGACGATTCGCCAGATACTGAATGCTGCTCCTGGCCTCTCCCTTGCTCCTATAGCTCCTCCCATTTCGTAACGATGTTAGATGGTGAATTTAATGTATTAGATAGAAAAATTAAAAAAAAAATTAAAAGAAAATCAGAAAAAATTCTGAAAATTCACTACATGTTCAGATGTATATTACTCACCACATCATAAAAATAATTGTTGTAAAATGACTATTATTCTTTGTAGAAACATGGTACAAAGATGATACTTATACCAAAATGTTGCCAGATTCTTAAGCTATTTTTCTGTAAGCTTAACTCATTGTATGTGTACAGTGGACCCCCGCATACCGTTGGCATCACATAACGTTAAATCCGCATACCGATACATTTTATCGCTAAGATTTTGCCTCGCATACTGCTAAAAAACCTGCTCAACGCTATTCGTCCGAGACGCGTCTAATGTGTGGCCCGAGCCAGCCTCACATGTTCCGCCGGTGGCATTGTTTACAAGCCAGCCTCCGCGGTAACATCCAAGCATACAATCGGAACATTTCATATTATTACAGCGTTTTTGGTGATTTTATCTGCAAAATAAGTGACCATGGGCCCCAAGAAAGCTTCTAGTGCCAACCCTGTGGTAAAAAGGGTGAGAAATATTATCAAAATACTGTGGTACCATGGTCAACTGCTGATGCTGCTGCTGTAGCACTGTCAGCTGCTGCTGCTGCTGTAGCACCATCAGCTGCTGCTGCTGCTGTACCACCGTCAGCTGCTGCTGCTGCTGCTGTAGTACCGTCTGCTGCTGCTGTAGCACCGTCTGCTGCTGCTGCTGCTGTACCACCGTCAGCTGCTGCTGCTGCTGCAGTACCGTCTGCTGCTGCTGTAGCACCGTCTGCTGCTGTTGTAGCACTGTCAGCTGCTGCTCTAGCACTGTTAGCTGCTGCTGCTGCTGCTGTAGCACTGTCAGCTGCTGCTGCTGCTGCACTGTCAGCTGCTGCTGCTGCTGCTGTAGCACTGTCAGCTGCTGCTGCTGTAGCACCGTCAGCTGCTGCTGCTGCTGCTGTACCACCGTCAGCTGCTGCTGCTGCTGTAGTACCATCTGCTGCTGCTGTAGCACCATCTCCTGCTGCTGTAGCACCATCTGCTGCTGCTGTAGCACTGTCAGCTGCTGCTGTAGCACTGTCAGCTGCTGCTGCTGCTGCTGTAGCACCGTTGTTGGTGTGGCTTATTGAGAATACCAAGAAACAATTAACCCCAGAGGGTTAGCCACCCAGGATAACCCAAAAAAGTCAGTGTCATCAAAGATTGTCTAACTTATTTCCATTGGGGTCCTTAATCTTGTCTCCCAGGATTCAACTCACACCAGTCGACTAACACCCAGGTGAACAGGGAAAAATGCCTGGAACTAGTGCTCATATTGGTGAATTTAAAGCCAGCAAAGGTTGGTTTGAGAGATTTAAGAATCGTAGTGGCATACACAGTGTGATAAGGCCTGTTCTGGAAGAAAATGCCAAACAGAACCTACAGTACTCAGGAGGAAAAGGCACTCCCAGGACACAGTGTCTCATCAGTCATTGCTGCATCTTCAATAAAGGTAAGTGTCATTTATTCTTCATTTAGTAGAGTACCACATGCACAATATATACTGTGCATGTACTACTCTACTATTGTGCATGTATCCTTCTCTTTGTGTGTAGGAAAATGTATATTTCATGTGGTAAAATTTTTTTTTTCATACTTTTGGGTGTCTTGCGCGGATTAATTTGATTTCCATTATTTATTATGGGGAAAATTCATTCGCATAACGATAATTTCGCATAACAATGAGCTCTCAGGAACGGATTAATATCGTTATGCGGGGGTCCACTGTATTTTACTTTTTTACTGTTTTCTGTAACATATAAGAGTTATGCAAATTAAAATAAAGTTATCAAATTGAAGTTTCATTTTTATTTTTTCTTTCTAATACACATATTTAATTCACCATTTGGCATCGTTACAAAGTGGGCAGAGGTATAGCAGAGGGAAAAGGAAGCAGTATCTCAGTAACTCATGACCGCCCATGACATGTGGTGGGGCGTCCCTCTTGGCACTATAAAATATTGTATAATTATACTATTATCAATAAAGGTTATCTACCTATCACATTTATTCCAGAATAATATTAGGTATAACAAAAATAACACAGAAGCATGATAAAGACACCCAAACTAATAAAAACTGACATTATATAGAGAGGTACCGTAGGGTGGAGGGATAAAAAAAAAAAAGTGACCGCGACCATTACAGAAAACGTTACGTGCCATGTGCCTGAAGGGTAACTATTACTCTTATCCTATGCAAAGACTGAAAAAAGTGTGATTTTTCTCAAAAAAAAAAAAAATCCCAAGTAATCAGCTGTATATACATTTCCTGGAATATCTCGGAAGTAAGTCATTGACCTATTTCATGTTGTATTACAATTAATATTAAACAGATTGAAATGAATTTCCCAGCAAACAGAAAATTGAATGTTTTAATTTTGGGTGGTGACACTTTTGAAATGTCAGTAAGGGGTGATCCCTCAATTAGTGATGAATTTGTTTACCAACATGGTCTTAGGAACGGAACTCCGTCAGTGAGGAGAGGCTGTATTGTAATAAACAGAGTAAGAGGAAATCAGCTCAAATATACATTATTTAGGTATGTATACTGGTCAGAGACCCTATCATAAGTCCAAGTCACTGGTAAACAAGTACATCACTAAGTGAGGAGAGGCTGTACAAATAAGCAATATAATCTTACCAGTAAACTTTAAAGGTTGGCCAAGTGTAAGGTCAAACACAGCAAGAGAACCGTCAGAGTATCCAACTGCAATATGAGTGTTATCAAGAGACCCAGGGGTAGAAGGTCGAGGCTCTAGAACTGTTACACTCCCACACACTTCTGCATCTAAAGTTAAAACCTGTCGAGTATTACATAAATTTTAATAAAAAAAAAAAAAGAAATTCTATAAAAAAAATATATACATATATAGTTCAACATGTTTGTCGTAAGAAGTGACTATAATGCTGGGAGCAAGGGGGTAGTAACCCCTCTCGCCTGTATCAATTACTAAATTTAAAAAGAAAAACTATAACCCCTCTCGCCTGTATCAATTACTAAATTTAAAAAGAAAAACTATCATTTTTCAATTTAGGTCACCCTGCCTCAGTGGGACACAGCCGGTTTGTAAAAAAAAAAAAATACAGTCCTTTAAAAATAAAGCAAACATCCTTCAAGAATTACATGGTTACCAACAATAGTGAAAAAGACACTTTACAGAACAAGCTTTTAGTGGGAGAAATTTTCAATTAATGTCACTAAAATCTTTATAAGCCACTACTTGATAAAGATCTTTACAAAACATTGTCCCAATAAAGCTTTTTCTGTAAAGTGCATATTTTTTCCATCCTCTTTAAGAATAAATCTTCAAACCAGTTTATGCATGACACACACAAAAATATTGGGCCGCGGGGTTCAACGCCCCCGCGGCCCAATCTTTGATCAGGCCTCATGGTGGATCTGGGCCTGATCAACCAGGCTATTACAGTTGGCCACACACAAACCTACATAAGAACCACAGCCTGGCTGGTCAGGTACTAACTTTAGGTGCCTGTCTAGTGCCTTCTTGAAGACAGCCAGGGGTCTATTGGTAATCCTCCTTATGTATGTTGGGAATCAGCTGAACAGTCTTGGGGCCCTGACACTTACTGTGTTGTCTCTTATCGTGCTAGTGGTGCCCCTGCTTTTCATTGGAGGGGGGATGTTGCATTGTCTGCCGAGTCTTTTGCTTTCATAGGGAGTGATTTTCGTGTGCAAATTTGGAACTACAGTGGACCCCCGGTTTACGATCACCTCCCAATGCGACCAATTATGTAAGTGTATTTATGTAGGTGCGTTTGTACGTGTATGTTTGGGGGTCTGAAATGGACTAATCTAATTCACAATATTCCTTATGGGCACAAATTCATTCAGTACTGACACCTGAACATACTTCTGGATTGAAATAATATCGTAAACCGGGGGTCCACTATAATCCCTCTAGGATTTTCCAAATGTATATACATTAATCATATATCTCTCCTGGCTGCATTCTAGGGAGTACAAGTTGAGGAACTTCAAGCGTTCCCAGTAACTGAGGTGTTTTATCGCACTTGTGTGTGCCGTGAAGGTTCTTTGTACATTTTCTAGGTAAGCAATTTCACCTGCCTTGAAAGGTGCTGTTAGTGTGCAGCAATATTCCAGCCTAGATAGAACAAATAACCTGAAGAGTGTCATCATGGACTTGGCATCCCTATTTTTGAAGGTTCTCATTATCCATCCTGTCATTTTTCTAGCAGATGCGACTGATACAATGTTGTGGTCTTTGAAAGTGAGATCCTCTGACATTATCACTCCCAGGTCTTTTACAATAGTTTTGCTCTATTTTGTAGTTGGAATTTGTTTTATACTCCAAGACAGTTTTAATTTCCTCACGTTTTTTCATATCAGAGTAATTGAAATTTATCATCATTGAACTTCAAATTGTTTTCTGCGGTCCATTTAAAGATTTGACTGATGTCTGCCTGGAGTCTTGCAGAGTCTTCAATGGAGGGCACTGGCATGCAAATTTAGGTGTCATCTGCAAAGGAAGACACGGTGCTGTGGCTTACATCCCTGTCTAGGTCAGATATGAGGATGAGGAACAGGATGGGAGTGAGTACTGTGCCTTTTGGAACAGAGCTTTTCACAGTAGCCACCTCAGACTTTACTCTGTTTACTACCACTCTTTGTGTTCTATTTGTTAGGATATTATAGATCATCTACCAACTTTTCCTGCTATTCCTTTATCACGCATTCTGTGCACTATTATTCCAGGGTCACACTTGTCAAAGGCTTTTGCAAAGCCTGTGTACACAACATCTGCATTCTGTTTGTCTTCTAGAACACTCAGGACCTTGTCATAGTGGTCCAGTAGTTGGGACAGGCAGGAGTGACCTGCTCTAAACCTATGTTCCCTGGGTTGTGTAACTGATGGGTATCTAGATGAATGGCAATCTTGCTTCTTAGAACCCTTTCAAAGATTTTCATGATATGAGATGTTAGTGATATTGGTGACGCAGACAGACACGGAATCATCGACAGAAGCCGCCCAGCCGCCGTGGAGAGAAGACATCGTCGTTCCTGCTCTTCAGTTATCCTGAGTAATTCTCGAGCAGAGCAACTCTGAACACTGTTACTCAAGATTTTTCTTGGGTTATCCTGAGTAGTTCTTGACCAGAGCTGAGAGGAAACTTGCTTGCAGTCACTTCGAGCCCCATCCCATGAAGAGGGTAAGGCGGTGACTTGCTTGTTCACCCCTCTCTTCCCCATCCCCCCCATCCTTCCCCATCCTCCCCTCACCCAAACATCTACACTGGCCCACACACTAACACACTACATACATTGCTATCCTTCTGACTTTCCTATCTTCTTCTTTTTCGGCAACTTCACTTTGGCGAGTTAACACAAGGCATTTTGACCATCCGGTAGCCCATGTGGTTTTTTAAAATCCGGCCGATCTTTGCCTTGGGCCCTTTTCCCCTCACTACTCGAGGGTAGGCTATCTTAGGGGCTGACCTTCATAAGTCAGCTGACATAGGATGTTAGACTAACTCTAAGGAAAGACCACTTTTTGTAAAGCTACTTCTGTGCCAGATGTACCTTCCTGGACATCATGGCACAGATAAGAGTAAGATTACATGTTGATGGCAACCAAAAGTCGGTGAAAGAAATTCTAGCACGTATTTGCTCGAATTCAACTGTTGCTCCAGTGGATGTTTTTACAACTCTCGCTGGGGTAGTACTTCTCCTCTCTTCTGAAGAAGAAGTTACTTCAACTACTTAAGCAGGACGTCCTGGACAAATTGAAGACTTTTGGTATCCATCCAATTGCACCTGAAAGCTATCAAGCTCAGCGAACTGTGTTTGTTGCCAGAATTAACAGCATCATGAGAGACAGCACAGTGAATGAACTTCTTGCTGACGTTAATGCAGAGAATTCAGAATTTCATGCTGTCCAAGCACATAAATTTTCTAAACCTGGCAACAACCAGGAAACATTAAAGTTAATACTTGAGACACCTGAAGAAGCCAAACTAGTGTGTCAAAATGGCTTCAAATGTTTTGGCACCAGATGTACACCTGACCAAATATCTCTTGAGCGGGTTTGTCAGTATTACACAATGTTACAAATGTTACGCATTTGGTCATACCACCAACAAATGCAGTACCCAAGCACTGATTTGCAGCATATGCTCTGGGCAACATTCTTTTAAAGATTGTAATAACAAAACTAAACCCAAATGTGTCCTCTGCAATGGTAAACATCATGCTGTTTCTGCTATCTGTCCCGAGAGGAAAAAGGAAATGCAGAAAATTCTTGAAGCTAAGAAACTGTCCAATTCTAAGAAGAACACTCCCAAGGCACCTCCAACAATGTCCCAAACTTCCTTCCCAGCTTTGCCTGGATCTAGTGGGACTCCTCAGGTCCCTCCCACTGGTTCCAATGTTTGGAATTCTGCCCCTCTTGGAGTGCCCCAATCTAACCCTCACCTACAACATACGCAAACACAACAACAAGGTTCAGTCTCATCTCCCATGTCTCAGGTATCCTCAGCCGGAGATATGACGAGAGCGCAACTAATGTATATGATGGCCAAGGACATAGCAGGTGGTGACATTCAACTCTGCTCTAAGATTTTAAATGATTTGTTAATGGCTAATGGGATCACTCCCATTACTATCCCAGATAATGTTAAGGTTATTATGGCCCAGCCTTCTCATAACAAGAAGTATGTACCCTACTCTACTTCTACAAATAAGCCTAAGTCATCCCTTGTCCAGGGATCACCCATCTCGCATACCCAGTTTGTCAACTCCCCTCAACCCGATGAGTCAATACCTGACCCCAACGATGCCCCAGAGATTGGTGCTTATTCTTCCGCTATTGCAGCTGATCCTGTTGAACAGGAACTTTCCCAGGGTAATTCACCTGGCCTACCAAATTTTCCCTTGGAGCCTCCACAGTCTCCCATTAACTCTCACGAGCCTCTGCTTCCTGAAACTGGGACTATCACGCCTCAGTTTTATGATGATGACTAATGATTCTGTTAATATTACCAATTCTAGTGAGGATGATGACACTTTTAATACACAAGCAACTACGCAGAATTTCCCTCCTCCCCTTGACGAGTCCAGCAGGGATAGTGTGGATACCAAACATGACATTACTTGCAGGCGTTCAGACCGCAGTACATGTGCGAAGTGCAAGAAATAATGGGGATTACAATTTTCCAACTTAATGTTCAATATTTCTTTAATAACCGTTACTTCCTTGAAGTTGAACTACATAATTACAATCCCGATGTTATACTCTTGAATGAGACAGCTGCAAGAGTTGATCAACGTATTAAATTACGTGGTTACTCTACTGTGGAGAAATCGAGAGGACCCTATAGTGGCGTAGCCAACTTAGTTAAATTAAGCTATGCATTTAAAAATATTCATGTTGATGAATATAACATTCTTGCAATAGAAATGATGACGTCTCATGGCCAACTAGTGATAGGAACTGGATATTTTCCCCCAAGACAACAATATATAGAGTCAATTCCTCTACATAGGATATTAAGCAAAAATATTCCAACAATTCTAGTGGGAGATTTTAATGCTCATCACCCTGCCCTCTTTAACTGTGGAGCTGGTATTCCACTGGGTGACTTGAAAGGAAAACAACTATTTAATATCATGACAGCCAGAAACTTATCATTTCAAGGCCCATTCTTTAAATCGTATTTTGGTCCTCATCCAGGGACACCAGATATAGTCCTGACAAACAGACTGTGACCTCTTTCATTGTCGTATCTCTCCTGGTGGAAACGTAGGTTCTGGCCATATCCCGGT